ACATGCGAAGAACCACTGATAAGAACGTGGTCAGCAGAAACAACATGTGTTCTAACCGCTCCTGAAATCCAACACAGTAAACTCCTATAGTATCCCCCTTAATAGTGGAGAAATCAAATGAAAAATGAAATGGACACTGGGGTTATATAGGGTTTATAGGAGCTATAGGGGTTATATAGGGGATTGTATGAGGGTATATATAGGATTATGTGGGGGATTATATGAGGGTATATATAGGATTATGTGGGTGTTTTTCCTACTTTCAGAAGACAACAGGCTCACAATGACAAAGACAAAGACCTACACAGGATACGTTCTCCAAATGTGGATCCTCCATATGAGCCATTGTCTAAACTTCTAGTATCCCCCTTAAGAACCCTATACACCTTAAGGAGTGTAGACTATAGTTCATATGACCTAGCGCATCAAACGCATTGTAGTATGGACACCGAAGTGCTGTAGCTCCTGAACCTTGTACATCCCCGTACATCTTCTGGGTATCTGGGCGGCCTATGTATCCCCCAAATTCCATACGATTCTTCATTATTGGGGTGCCCCCTACATGAGCTATAGTCTAAACTCCTAGTATCCCCCTCAATAACCCCTATAGAGTGCTCCCCTATATAATGCCCTATATATACCCCTTTAAGGAGTTTGGGCTATAGCTCACATATCCATGAAAATTCCCAAGTGAATCCTCACCTGGCCATTAGCCAGAAAAGGAATTCCAAGCTGCGTAGCAGTTGAGCACAGTTGGCCCACAAATGGGGGCTTCCCAAATTTAGGGGTACCCTTTTGGGGTCCCCATTCTCAGGAATATAGTATTTGGGGGTCTGTATTGGGGCCCCCTTATATGGGGAAACTACTAAGTAAGGTTTGGTTCAGAAGGTTCAGGGTGTAGGGGCAAACCTCCCCGTGTCCTTAATTGCTTTTTTCGTGGCCCCTGTAGAGGGTACATAGGCTTGAGAAGAGGTAGTTGGAGGTGCGACGCTTGTCGTTGTAACTAGTGGAAGCTTAGAGGATGAATCGCGGCATAACACTCAAACCCTTATAGTCCCACTTATGTAGACAGAATATGGCATTTGGTAAAGTATAACAAGATCCCCATATACCCCATATTCGATCCACATAAGGGGGACTATCCATAGTCCCAGTCCCATTACTCCTGCTGCTGAAACTTCCGGTCAAGCGCTCGAAGGAGCCATTGCTGCTGCATGTCCGACCAACCCACCTCCTTGGTCTTCTAGGGTTTAAGGCTTTAGGGTTTAGGGTTTTGGGGTTTGTTGGGGTTTAAGGTTTAAGGTTTAGGGTTTAGGGGTTTAGGACTTGTTGCCCAAAATGCCGACCCCTCTGTCGCTTGGCGCAAACTGCGAAAACACCCAGGCCTCAAACCCTCAACCCTAAATCCTTAACCCTAAACCGTTAACCTCGAAGCCTTCGGAGGAACCTCAGAACATCCCAGGTGTTTACTTATGTATAGTCCCCCTTAAGTAGATAGAATATGGGGTTTAGGGTTTAGGGTTTAGGGTATAGTCCCCCTTAAGTAGATAGAATATGGCTTTGGGTATGCTATAATAAGATTCCCATATACCCAATTTCAATCTACTTTAGGAGGACTATAGACCTTCAATCCTGAGACTCTAAGACCACGAGCCCCACGCCGAAAGTCTAAACCCAAGGCCTATGAACTCTAAACCCAGACTAAAGGCTGGCGCAAAGCTCTGAACCCCAGACCCCGCTAAATGTTAAAACTCAACGCCAAGAAATGAGTTGCTGTTAAGGAAATTAAACTAAGCTCAAAGTAAATTACCATAATATGGGTATGTAGCAGATGATCGAGTTTTGCTTATCATAGCTTGATAATAGTTCCTCGTCAACAACCTAGAAAAATCCTCTACTCAGCCCAGACTCATTCTTTGCCATGTGCGAATTCCCCTCTGTGGTCACTTGGCAGGTTGGCCGCGGCATCTAAACCTGGGATGTTCTGAAAGTCTTCAGGTGAGCTCTAGTGTAAACTCCTTATAAGGGGGCTATATGGGGGGCTATATGGGATTTAGAGATTAGGGTTTACGATCTAAACTCCTTTAACGGGGTTATATAGGGGACTATATAGAGGAATATTATAGGGGTGATAAAGAAGGATACTAGGAGTCAAGACTGTAGCTCATGCGAACTTCAGTTAATGCTTCCCATGTAACTACTGGACATGGGTTCCTGTGAGGGGATAATCCTAGGGAATATGCTAAACTACCAAGGGGAGCACTTTCCCACTCTGAATGCCCCCTTGGTAACCCTAATATTGACAGTAGCTTCTGTAAAGGTTTGGAGTTGAGGGTTTAGAGTTTGTTCAGGATTAGGTCATGACATGGTTTTAGGTCCTTACCGCAGAAGACTTCGAGAAGTTCCCTCTTTGCGGCAAGCTAAAAAGTTGGAGAACGAATGCTATAGGGGTAATATATAGGGATAATGGAGAATAAAATGGAAACTACTATAATAGGTTAAATAGGGATGATAGAGTATATGAGCCATAGTCTAAACTCCTAGTATTCCCGCTAAGAACCCCCATAGTAGTCCCCTATATAATCCCCTATATATCCCCCTTTAAGGAGTTGAGACTACAGGTCATGTAATGAGGCCTCACAAGACCGCCTGCTGAGACTTCGAGGCCGGCAGAGTGGTCTTAGGCTTGCAGGGGACTTGATTCACACTGCTTGCGGAGGGTTTGGGTTTAGGGTTTAGAGTCTATGGCCTCTGAAGCTGCAACTACAAAAACGCAAGTAAAACTTTACAGTTGGCAGTTTCCCAAAAGAGGGTGACCCCAAAATAGACCCCAATATACTATAATCCTTTTGGTAACCCCCAAATTTTGGGAAACCCCCATGTCAAACTGCCCAGAAACCCCTAGGGAGAGGAGAACCCTCCCCCTCAGAGGGTGAGCTCGGATCCCCTCTCGCGGGGCTGGGTACTTCGAGCCAGAATTCATGCAGACGAAAGTTTATATAGGGGATAATGGAAAAATTGGAAGCTACCATATTATATAGGGGTTATATTGGGGTTATATGGGGACAATGGAAAATGTAAAGTGGGAACTACTATTGTTGTGGGCCTCTCTTCTACACTCCCTCTCCCTGTCTGTTCCGCCCCCTCCCCTCCCGAGCCCTACATGAAGCGGTAGGAACCACAAATTGCAATTCAGAGCGCGCCTGACGAAACAGGGAAGTAGGTTCGTTCCAACCGTTGGGAGGCGCTTGAAAGCATCCCAAACTGGCAACACTTTGAAAAGGCTTTAATGGGAACCCCAAACAGGGAACCCCAAGAATATAGTAGGAACATAACGGAATATAAGGACCCTGGTAGGTACAGTATATTCCTATTACATTCCTACTATATTCTTGGGGTTCCCTGTTTGGGGATTCCCATTAAAGTCCCTTTACTTTCGGAAACACTATTACCCCATTGGGTTATTATTCATGTTGTCTTGGGGTTATACAAGGAAAATGGAAAAGATAATGGAAACTAGTATAATGGGTTGCATGGGGATTACTGCTACCCAATTTGGATAATATTAGGGTTACATTTGGGGTTATACAGGCATAATGGACAAGAAAATGGAAACTACTTCAGTACAATAGCGTATGTGTATTAGGGTTATATTGGGGTTATGTAGGGATAGTGGAAAAGAACATTGAAACTACTATAGCGGGTTGTCTAGGGGTTATAAAATCAAAGCCACTTGCCAGCGCACTCCACTCCTTCAACCAGGAGCTGGGTGTCAGCGAGCAGGCTGCACTACACGGTCGCTATGATAGTCTGAGTAGACAGTAACCCTAAATCTAAACAGCAAGGGAATCAGAAGTTGACTGAATCGTGATACCTCTGGGAGCTGCTGTGATAAAACACCGTACAGGTGACTGGACTGGATCACCTTTCGTCCTTGCCCTTATGCTTCGAAAGCGACATACCTGCTTTATATTGCCTTCAGCCCACAGAGTTGCAAATAGCTGTCCGAATGAACTCTCAGTATGGCTCACTTGGCGGAATCCCTTGGTCCCTCGACTGTCAGGATAGTCATGACCTTCAGGGCAAAGACAGATGGCGTACATATTATGGTGATAAGGTTGGATTAGGGCAGGCATCGCTTGTTTTTGTAGCCTGAGCCAGAAGCATGACCTCTCATCAGCTAGGCTTAGCTGCTGCCTCTTTGAATATGCTGTCCAGTCTTGTGGGTTGATGCATAGGCTCTCATGATGAGGTATGCAAGGGCATGTTAAGATATGAGCAGGAAAACTTGAACGAGCAGTCCCTCTGTAGCCCTTCAGACGCCGATCAGAAGACAGCCGACAGCTGCTGGCTGACCTGTGGTGATACGTGGGTTTAGGGTTTAGGGGTCAATTATGGAATAATGGTGAATCAAATGCAAAACAAGAAGCATAACTAGATGGAAGCAGGACAGAAGCATCCAAGTGAGCAACAATATACTATATTAGTGTCCATTTTCTTTTCCATTATCCCAATATAACCCCAATTACTATAGTATTTTGGGGATATATAGAGATAATGGAAAAGAAAATGGAAACTACTACAGTATACATCGGCTCTTCCAGTATTCTCAGAAGATTTCCGGTGGGAACTCAAAGTTGGGCTCAAGTCAACATCACTATGCAATCCACGCTTACCGCTTCTTTAGGTACGATGGCCCCTAAGAAGGCCTCCCCAAACCCAGGGCCCAACCTAGGAGTCTATAGTCCCCCTTCAGTAGATCGAATATGGGGTATATGGGGAACTTATTATGATATACCCAAAGCCATATTCTATGTACTTTCGGGGGACTATAACCACAAATTCCTTGGCATTCCTACTGCTGATGCGAGACTATGGGTCTTTTGTAGCGTGGTGCTTTTGCCAGTCTTGTGGTTGCAAGGCATTTGGCTTCGCCAATTGCCGATGTCCCATTAAGCCACTAAAAAGTCTCGAATTCATCTCCTTGAGAGATGTAAAATTCAGGCAAGACCGCTGGTCTCGGTCTGTTTGCCATTCGTATCCAGACTTGGTACAGTCGAGAACATTGATTTCCTTAGTGCTGAGACTGTCAGTTGAGGAGTTAAAGGTCTGGCGGAGTATGGCCTACACTACCAGCTGTTTTAAAGTGCGTCTTGAATTGGGGACACCGCTTCCTGCCACAACTCCCAATGCAGCTAGCAACCCCAACCCTGAATCTCAAACCTACTTACTTACTGCTTCGCTGCCCCCCCCCCTATTATTACCCCCCCCCCGCCCCCTCATATTAAATCCCCACAATAAATTACAATATGCCGTAATGGGTAGTAAGGGTAGTATTCAATATTAGGGGGGGTCTAAAATTAGGGGAAGGGGATTACTGCTTCGCTGCCCAGATTCAGCTTGAAGTGGATGTCCTGGCACTCCTTAAGTACCTTTGCGCTTTCGCGCTGGAGAACCTGGGAGTGGGCCCTGTGTGAGCTCTGAAGGGATGTTTAGGGTTTAAGGTTATCTGAGGTACCGGGATTACCACTTGGAGATATACCCATCGCACAAGAAAAAATGCCAGTATTTCGCAGGATACACTACTCCCAGAAAGACTGCAGTGGGTTTAGCTGAATAGTAGTTTCCGTTTCTTCTCCATTATCCCAATCTAACCCAAATATATACCCCAATATAACCACAATATGTAACCCAATATAGACCCCAGCATATACCTCACCTTACAACCTCAATATAAATATATATATATGTATATAGATAGATAAATAGACGGTAATTTTGTTGAGCTCTTTTGGCGTTTGGGGGCCGCGAACTCAAAGATTCTGTGTTAGCGTTCCCATTGGGGTAAAATTAGGGTTTAGGGTTATATTGAGATAATGGAAAATCAAACGGGAACTACTATTTGGGGTTAGGGTTTAGGGTTTTAAGTTGGCGCAAATTGGTGCCTTTCAGGGGTGAGCTCAAGACTTTGGGGCCCTGTTCGGGACCGGTGGGTATAGCAAGTCTCATATTTGACATATACGTGGGCCATAGTCTAAACTCCTAGTATCCCCCTAAAAACCCCTATTCTACTCCCCTGCATATTTCCCTATATAATCCCCTTTAAGGAGTTTAGAGTGTAGCTGATATGAGGAGGGGCCCTACTTGAGGAAGCGCCCGCATGGCAAGAGGGTCCCTGCGCACGTTTTGTCATTGTGAACGGGCCTACCTGGACCCCAAAAGTAGGTGAAGTTAGAACCCCTAAAAACAGACCAAAAGGCAATGATTCTACCTACTTTTGGTGTTCAGGCAGTCTTCCATCGAGGCTGTCAGTTTCGACATCATGCTGGGGAAAATTCTCTCGCCGGCTGCCAGTCATCATCTAAACATTGCGCGACAGCCACGAATTGGTATGCAAATTTTAGGGGCACATTACAGGCTGGTATGATCATGTTGCAGCCTAAGGCATTCACGTAGGGAGTGTGGACAGGTTACACCTTCCTTATGGAATAATGGTGAAAATGGGATACTTTTTCCTAGTCCGTCAATCTTCCACACTATGTTTCTCTGGGCGCTTTCCATACATAGCCATACACTAATACCCACATGCAATCATTGAATGGGGTATGCTTAATGCTGGAGGGAGGTAGTATCACTCGCCGCCATGTAAACACAGTCTATATTTCAACGTTAATGCGGTCTTCCGTTTTGAAGGGACTCCTGCCAAGCAGCCACCATGTCCAACGCCCGCGCATGCCCCTTGAGCTGCATCAAGCCCTTGCAAAATTCTGCAATCGTGATCTTTCCTGGGCTGTTCTGAAGTAAGCTTAGTGTTTTCTTGTGTGTGGTGATCTTTCCTTTGCAATCATGATAGAAGCTTAAGTGTCCAGATGTGTGTGCGTGGGTGCTTTCGTGTCGGTGTTTGATATTGGGCCGAACAATCACGGAAGTTTGGAAAAGAATTCGCGGCATCGGTCCGTTGGAGACACTTTTTCTTACAATGGGCAGCATATCAAGACTGCCACTCACACAGGGATGACTTCGCAAGGATCTCTGAACCTTTGAGATGTTCCCAGTACTCCCACTTAAGCTCCAGAGCTCCGATAACGTGAATTGAAACTGGGCTCTTCGGGCCTTCAGGCAATGATTTGTGGGGCGTGGGGTAGGCACCACTGAACGAGAAAATGTTGCACATAACGGCCCAGTGTCCGTCGCCATCGTCGAGAATTTCAAACCTCCAAGAACACAGCGATGATTTGCGTCAGGGGCTTTCTCAGTGTGGGCTGTGGGGGTGTGAAAGACTGGGGCGCGTACTCAGTCTTAGGCAACCGATTGTGCCCTGAAAAATGCATAGGGGTCCACTCAAGGATGAGTGCTTTTCAATCTAGCTCTCGTGAGGAACTCCTATGTAGAGGTTCACCTCGGTTTTTTGGTCTTGCCGGGATATGGACGCTTTGAGTAGAATCTATAGTTCTTGCTTTGACACATAGGGTTCGTATCCACGGCAAACTGGGTCGGGCGTGATCGTAGCGTTTCTAGCCGCACTTTAGCTTATCAAAAGTCCGTTCCTAAAAAGCGCCACCGCACATACAACTTCTGTCGTGAATCTCCGTGCAGCTGTGGGGTGACACCGGCAAAATCACCCCATGCTTCACAAAGACGCTTCATATACTCATGCAATGCATCGCCTCTGGGACGAGCCATCCAACATTCGCAAATGCAAGTATCAACAACTTTGGTGCACGCAAGAAGCCACACCCCACATGCAGGGATCCCTCGCGCAACTGGACTCTCTAAAGGGGCTGCCCATGGATCTTTGCAAGGAGTCATGCCCACCAGTAATACTTGTGAAGCAGTATTAAAGCATCAAAGGTCTGATAGCGCCAGTTGCTGTAGCGTCTTAGGTGTCGAGACTGTCGCAATTCACATGTCTCAAGCCTGGGGCTTTCCAAGGGCCTCACTTCGGAAAGTGTGCTGCATGGATCTAGTCCCCATTTCGGTCATAACTTGTTCCTTCCGGATGATTATGTTGGTTGATGAGAAAAGGAACTCTTAGTTGACCTCAGTGTGAGAATCATTCTTCACATGCGCAGAGCCTACTAAGGCTTCTCACTGTTAGCTGTATTGAACCAGTATGCACTATTCGAGGAGGACGGGTTTCTTTGTAGCATTCTGGGAAGGGTGATCCCTCGAATATGAGCCCCACATGCACCAACAACGCCCCAAAACTCACATCATGAACCCTGGAAAAGCATCACGCTGTCTTAAAACTCAGCCAAGAAACAATGGGCCGCAGTCCGAAACTTTAAGCTCCAGAATTGCCTCGGACACTCAACGCAAGGTATATGAGCCATAGTCCAAACTCCTAGTATCCCCCTTAACAACCCCCTATGGTAGTCCCTTATATAAGCCCCTATATAACCCCCTTTAAGGAGTTTAGACTATAGGTCATATATCAACCAGATGTTGTCCAGGAGCAGGGCTTAATTGGGCTTCTTGACTTGGCTGGGATTCGTAAAGACTGCCAAAACACGGTGATGTACAGGCTCTGTTGAAATGGTAAGGAGAAGGAGGATTCCTAAGGACTCTGGCCGCACGTGCTTTCTGTGTGTACACTGGCCCCCAGTTTTGAAAAGCTCCGCATACATGTTGTGGATTCGCAAGGTAAACTTCTCAAATGAGAGATGTGCTGGAGGCCTGCCCTGTACCCGTTTTGCTGTACCACCCCCATACGACTAGGCATCAAGAATACCGGTCCCCCGTCTGCCGAGAAACGTCAGAATCTTATTTGTAGGGTGGCTGATAAAGTTGAGAATGCATCGTATGAACACCCTTGCGATTTCTTTTAAATGATCATTCCCAACCTAATCAACGCCCATCTAGCACAAGTAGGAACATGTATGGGCTGAGTACCGCCCTTGCTGTCTGTGTTTGAGAGAAGTGCATCTGGGCTAAAGTCGGCTATGGGTACACCATGGTACACCGTTGTACTAAGGCCTACCGCCTGGAAGGTATCCACGTATTCCTATCCTACCCCTTAACTCCTCTCTGCCGTGCCTTTTAATGCACTGACCCCTAACCGCCAGGTGGCTAAATATCGCTGCACGCCCGGCAGGCTAAGCGCTTGAACAAATTCCTTGCGCAAATCAGGTTGAGGTAATTTTCAGCAGGGCCACCAAAATTTAGGGTACCCTAAAATGGGACCATACTTGTGACAACCCCCCCACGGAAAGACGCTTTACAAAAAGCCGCAATGGGCTTAGTACGAGCCTAAGAGCTGATCTTGCCGCCACCCAGACGGACTCCGCAACAGAAATTGGATGAAGGCCCAAGGGCCCCATTCAAGAACTCACACGATTGCAGACAAACCCGGCAGCAACAGCAGGCTGCAACGCATGTCCGGGAATACACCATCATAGTGTTCAGTTGTGGGGAAATTGTGTTGCAACGATATGCACATGCGTAGTGGAAAGATCTGAGTCTGGGCATCCTTGTCGGTGTAAAGCATTACGGCTTCAAACCTACACCCAGCCACCACTGTGCGCAATGTGAGGGATTGTCAAAATCGTGGTCCCTTTTCGGTACCCTAAACATTGGGGGGCCATCATTTTGACAATCTACCATCTATTCCTAGACCCTCCTCCTACCCTCTATTAGGGCCTAAGTACCCACTATTAGGGACCACATACCCCAATTAAGGGTACAAGGAAGGTCCTGGTTCCTATGTTGGTCATTCCTATGTTGGTCATCCTCCGGAGAGAGCCAATCATTCCCATCTTCGTCAACCGCCCGGAAGAGATCCTGAGCTAGGTCAAGGCAGTGAGGACTTTGCAAGCTCAAGCGACGGATAGTTTTGGTGATTCAAACAATTAGTTCTTAATGGATATAACAGCCAAACTAAGGGAATATGACATTATGACGCACATGTAGCTATAGTTTTAAAAGCAAATGCAACGCAAATAGTGTTCCCGAAGCATGATTAATGAGAGAAGTTCAAGGGCTGATCGCCTCCCAGCAAGCAAGCAAAAAGAGCAACTAAACCCTAAACCTATATAATCACCAATATAACCCACATTTGAGGAGTTTTCATACCACTCAACGGCCCAGACTCTTCCAGCTTTTTCTGGTAGTCTCGAGCTGTCTTACGACTTTCTTCAATCTGCATGTCCGCGTCGTTTGCAGCACTGGCCAGGGTTTCCTTCCGACAAAACGATCATGCTGGAATGATTGGCTTAGGCAATCTTCAAGCTCGAGTTGGCCGACTTATGCGTATGGGACCCCCATGTTTGGAAACTCCAGGCTTAACGCCGCTGAGCAATCGCAGCCTAATCTCAACCTCCAAACAATAGGATCCTCACGTCGCGGACCAGTTGAGCTCAAGGAAAAAGGAAACAAACGGCAAAATTTGCCTCAACTTCCCAAGCTGGCCATGATTGTTCAGAAGCTGAAGCGCAACGAACAAACTTAAGAAGATCGCCCTTCACTTTTCATGTATCCAGAAACCTATAGGGAGATTCCATTATCCTGCCAACACGCCCTAAAATGACCGACTTCCCGAATCCCTTTACTGCAAGTCCAGCCCTTTGCAAAGAAAAGCCCACAGCAAAGCCATGAAACCCAAAACCAGCCTTGAGGAAGAGTGCTGTGACTACTCTTATCACGGCAAAAACCACCAGAGTGATATAGCCGAGAAATGGCCTGGGTTGGCGGCTTGATTGGAAGGATTGGGCTCCAGGGGCCATTCCTTCCTATCAAAACAGGGGTGTGGGGAGAAAGTATGTGGTCTACGGCATGTTTTCGCAAAGTTGCGGGTCTCCGTACGGTTCACTCCATTGTCAATTGTTGTTGTCTGTTACCTGGACCCCGAAGTAGGCAAAACAATTAGCACAGCACACTTAAAAGAGAAAAACAAAATCCAGATATTTTTGGAGTTTGTGGAGTATGTCACAGAAGCATGAACTGGCCACAGCGCATATGAGAACCTAGCCCATAATCTTTCGCACTCCGATCTACTACGGGTGCCAAGACAAGCCAACATTGTGATTCTTAATTCTTTTTATATCTATGGTACAGGGAACTTCGAAAACAACAACAACAACATGACATTGGTAATTCTTATGGCCGTATAGAATGTCACATTCGCGCTTGCCCGCAGTTATTACAAAGGAGAACGCTTGTTTGCATGATGTTGCTTGCAAACGATTTGCGTCACATGTGCCCTCCACTTGTTGTCATGCATCATGAACCAGGCATAACTTTCGCAAGGATTAGGTCATGTTATGGTTGTCCTCCAAGATTGCATCTGAACGCCTCCTGATCCAAGCACCAAGGGCTTGACATATAATTACTATAGTAGTTTCCATTATCCCAATATTACCGCAATATAATTACTGTAGTGGTTTCCGATTATGGCTTGACAACAAATGACTGAAGGGGTCCCCCTTCGAAATTCTCAGTTGCTAGAGGCATTCCAGTTTTAGTCTCTCTTTCACAGTTTTGGAAGTTTTCGCCGAAATAAAACCTACCATTGATAATTTCGGCCACTGTGTTATAGTACATTGATGACCTGCGGATGGTGGGTGTAAGGGCGAAGGCACGCTCTCTCTCCAGAAGTTTTGTTTTGTATGCGCAGGTTTTGCGTCGTAAATGGGTTCGCACCGGCAGCTTTCAATTTACTGTTAGCAATTGGCTGAATTTGCCTGTGCAAAGCTGTATTGTTCATCCAAACTGGGGCGCAAGATAAGTGCGTGAGCCGGACCAGAGAGGAGTTGGGAATGCCATAAGGAATGATGCATGTCGTAGTGGATAGGAACGACAAGCGTGGTAGGTTCTGACTCCAACCGATGGAGCCTGGGCCCCGCTGCTCTTTCAGCGGCCCCTTGTAGGTCTACATGAGCCATAGTCAAAACTCCTAGTATCCCCCTTAATAAACCCTATAGTAGTCCCCTATATAAACCCCCTTTAAGGAGTTTAAACTACAGCTCACATTGTGTGGAGGACATGAGTGGCGACTGGTACTCCAAAGATTGAGGGTGGCCTCGCAATGAACGCGTGCCCTGGGAGTCAAGCTGCGGTGGGGGGTGATAACTCTCTGGCAAACATAGTCTGGGCCGATTTCTACGAGGCGGCTTTCCCACGTAAGTTGCAGGAAACCCACGGGAACATCCTGATCAGAACAGGCTCCACAGAAGCTATCATGTTCGGAAGTCGGAGGCTTCTGCATTGCGAACCCTCCTTGCTGCCTGCACTTCACTCCGATTATCTTCAACAAGCTTGGCCCAACATCCGCGAGCCCGCGAACCCTGTTCGCTCGTTGCTCCTGAGACAGCGTAGCCTGAAGCTTTCCCGCATGTACTGCAGGCATGGAGCAAAAGACGATGCCATTTCAAGCGCTGGGAGTACGGTGCCCTCGCCGGCATGTTATACGGGTGCCCTGATCCCAGTGCGCCCCAAAGATTGGCGCAATGCAAGGCGATAGCGGACCACAACTATCTATTTCGGCGTCAAAGTAAACCACGTGGCCGCATTGTTGTCTTTTGCGCTTGCTTGCTGTCAGATACGCAAGGCACTACCAAAAGTACTGCAATGCACGTAATCCTGTAGGCGATGAGGGCCAATGAAAGTACTCAGGGCTAGCCTGCGCACGTCATGCACTGCTCAGCTGACTTAGGCAGGATTGCTGTGTTATCAGCGTACTCTAAATTGCTCCTAACTCCGCAGAGCGTTTGAAGCCGACCTTATGAGGGCTCTAGGTCTGAGAACCACTGAGTCACGGTAAGATTATATAAGAAGGTACAGAGAGAGAGGGCATCCCTGTCTGAAACCACGAGTCTACGGCTTTTCTGAGGAGATATGTCCAGCATCGTGGATCCTGAACTGAGGAGGGCGGTAAAGAGCCTGACAAGGTGGTAGTCATTGGCGTAGGGGCCCAACCAGCCATGAAGCAAAATGATGTGGCAGCAGAGTAGATGGAGTTGCCATTGGAGGGCAACAGGTGGACAAACTTGGGCACTGGGTTAAGAGTGGTGCATGTGAGACGGAGAGCTGGCATTAACTACGGACTATCTGTAGAGGAAGTGCTTTCTTTCCGGGATACACTAAGGGAGTCTCTGAATTTAGAAAGGTCAGTGGAGGAAGAAGAAAGAGCTGAGATTGAAGCAGCACCAGAAATCAGAGTGCATTATCCCTGTCAGGCAGGGATCAGTTGACGTAGGCACCGTCGGTTCAAAGCCACGAAAATTAACGTACCAAAAAATTGGTTGTCCTCCCAAATTTCTGCAAAACGAAGTTTGCCCTGCAATTTCCAGCAAATCCTACTGCAATTGCTACTACCACCACCTCCTCTACTTCTATTACGTCCTCTGTTACAGGTATAGGGTTTAGGGGTTAGGGTTTAGGGTTTAGATGACTATTACTACTATGATGACAGCCGCCCAGCGGCAAGGAGTACCAAGGGCTGACCTTGTCTATCACAGGCCGCACTCTCGCTGGCCAGCTGCCCGAGTGCGTCACCTATTGGTTAAGGGTTTAGGATTTAGGGTTCAGGGTTTAGGTATTGCTCAATGTCAAGCTTTTTGAAACTTTCGGTTCAAAGTATACAAGTTTTTGTCGTGAATGGATACCCAGAAGTTACTTTGGGGTCTACGGCTTAAAGCCTAGAGATGAAATACACTTGGGAAGTATATAAAGGGTAGTCTAGAACGGAGTCCATGGCGACTATCTCTCAAGTCTAAGTAGGGATCTTGTGCTGTCAACGGCCTGCGTTCTCCATAATGCTCAACCTAAGAAACAATCCACAACTTTCCGGTTGTCACTTGGGCTTCACCCTGCCTAGCAGTCTACATGCAGGACCCAGTCTGGGGTCTAGATGCTGCCTCTCCTCACCGAATGACGGTGACATTTACAAGAAAACCTGCCCCCACCCAGCTAATGGTCGATAATAGGTGTCATAGATTAAGGGCTCTTTATAATAATAGGTGTCATAGATTAAGGGCTCTTTATAGCAATATATGATAAACAACATAGGGAATCCACATACGAAAAGCACCCCTGCAAGAAGAGAGAATCCGCAGAATGCTGGCGAACTCTGAGCCAACCCTCCCCCCCAATACCCCATACATAAACCAGAAAATCCCTGTTCATTCCTCTGTATGTACGCTGATGCAGCCTCGAACATGGTGTAGAGGGCTTTCAAGAAGCTGCCATACAAGTTATTCATCTCCAGGCGGGTGTCCAGATCATTCCTGAGGCTCCGCTGTGACTGCTCAAACAGGGGATCCCCGATACACATGTAGAAAACTACCCCTATAAAGGCCTGTGGCGTAGTGAAAATCCAAATCTGCCAGTAACTTAGAACCTTAGTGGTTCTTAGTAGGGAATAAGGAAATATAATCCCTATATGTCTCATACAATATTACAGTCCCTGATTCCGTACTAACAACCACTAAGGAAGGTCTCCAGCCCCAGGATAGAGCTAGAAACCACACTGAGAAAAGCTAGGGGTTGAAACAACAAGAAGAAGAGGGGGCCTTAATCTAGAGCCCAATATAGGTTCAGGGCTAAAGATCAATTAGGGGGCCTTCATATAAATCCCAATATAGATGGTAATTTCCCTTAGTAGGGGGACACCATTTTAGATCCAAAAATACCAAAGTCCTTGCTATAGGGACCACCAGAAAGGCACCCCTAACTTTGGGAAACCCCAGGTTTATTGTTTAGGGTTTAGGAAGTATAGGGCCCAACAACTTAGAAGTGGGCTTCACAAGGCTGGCAAAGCTCAGTACAGGAAGGTTTTTTTTTGAAGATTTTCATAGAATTCCTGGTAGGGGACCACAAGGGCCCAAAGGAATGAGAATAAGCCCCCTGCGTCGAAGGAATACGGGCGTTTCCTAAAATTAGGGGTACCATTTTGGGTGTCCCTAAAATAAGGATTATAGTATTTTGGGGTCTATATTGGGGTCCCCCTATATAGGGAAAGTACCATATGACAGGGGATTGTATACGTACCTGAAATACAACAACAGGGTCGGGAAGCACTTCCACGTACCTAGGGTTACAAGACGACTACATGCAGGCTGATGCTGAAACAGCTGGGGAGTTGCGGGGTTCGTTAATATTAAGTCTCAGTGGACCGACTCACGAAACCAACCTCTATAGGGGCTATATAGGGGTCATATTGGGATTATATTGGGGTTCTATAGGGGTTATATGAATGTCCTGCTGAGGAAGAAAGGGGCTGCTGAACATCCGGGCCAGATTCTGGTCGTCGAGGATGAAGCCTTGAATTGCCTGCACGCAAGTAGTATTAGGAATGAAAGTAATAATTAACAGAAACAGTAGTAAACAAATAGAAATAAGAGTAACAATAGGAATGTTACTAATAGTAATAGTAATAATACTCATAACAGTAAACATAACCCAACTCCGCTGGACTCTCCAAGCTCTAGCTTCAAACGAGCAGTTCTAACAGCAGAAATCCTTCATCAAGGAATCCCAAAAGGCGCCCCATATTTGGGAGGCCCATACCCCTATAGTCCCCCCTAAGTAGATAGAATATGGCTTTGGGCATAGTATAATGAGATCCCCACATACCCCATATTCTATCTACTTAAGGGGGACTATAAACCCTAAACCCTTTTGATGTGCCTGGCAGATGATGAGCGAGAAACCCAATTTGACGAGGAAAAGCATCACCTCGGCTGAGGTCCAAACACCGCCTTTACGTACTTTGATTTAGGGTCTTGGGTTTAGGACTTAGGGTGTAGACTTTGGGGGTTTAGGCTGTAGTTTACATATTACAAGCAGATCCGGGGAAGATGAGTAGCCAAAGTCCTTTTATGCCAACGAGACTACTTATTGTCAGCCAAACCTGGGGCATGTGGACAGCGATGGTCTCTCTGCGTGGAAATTGTCCAACAAGGGCGGGGGTTCTTTGCTGATTTCTGGGATCCAGAAACCTAAGCAATGTCCATACTCAGGCTACCTACAACATGCCGGGCTACTGAACAACTAAAAGCAAAACGCGCGCAGAGCTGCGGCTCCTGAACGAAGAAACGAAAAGACTGAAGTGCTTTCTGCCACGTCACCATCGACCAGAACAGGGCGCCAATGCTGGCGATGCAGGTCCCCACCAAGAGTCGAAGCTGTCGGAACAGTGCAACCTATGAGCTTGTGTTGATTGTTGTTCTCCCTTTTGGCTACCTCAGCCGAGCCTGCTATTTCCATATACGACTGCACGTGAGAAAACGACTACAACACTACAGGCTTTACTTCCGCATGAGTCTCCACTATTCGTCTGAGAGAAAGACCAAGGGCCAAAGGGGAAAGTGGATGCTTCCCTGTACGCTGATGCGTGAATTCTGTGTGATTTGACATATATGGATGTTGCATGGATGCTTCCCCGTGGGGATGCTTCCTTGCGCCTATCCTGAAGTAACCCCCGAGTTCTAAACAAATCAGGAGTCACCTATATATTGTAGTTTCCCAAAATACGGGGACCCCAATGTAAACCCCAAGATACGTGAATCCTTAGTATTGGGACCCCAAAAAAGGTAACTCTAAATCCTAAACCCTAAACTAATTTTGGGAAACCCCCCATATTTTAGTTGGTTTAAGAAGCAGATGCTCTGGCCAAGCAGCCGTCTTGATGATACGAAGTGTTCGCACGATTCCTTCAGCAACCATCGGTTCAGGGTTTAGGGCTCTTCCCGTCTATCCCATTATATAATCCCTATATAGCACTTTATACCCATACTGAAGCTCTACACATCGATGGGGGTCCCTCTGTGGTCGGCTCTTTCTGAGGATTACCAATGCAACCATGGATGTTACTCTGCTTGCAGAGATTCTGAAGGGTTCAGACACATAACATGCTCCGTGCGGATCCTAGATATACATTCACGCAACGGACCGGGGGACTGTGGTGTCTGGGCGGCGTGTTTTGCTGGCCTTTTCGAAGGCGGGGGCTGAGGGGAGGCGGAAAGCATTTTCCGCAGGTGCCCCCATTTGTTCTGCTGCCAGGCAATTTTAAGGAGAAGAGAATAGCTTGTCAGCCTTTGTCTGAGAGCAAAGGAAGCTCAGAAATGGATCAAAGAAACTGTGCACACCTCCAACACCCATAATATGGCATCCCCAAAAACCCTAGAAAGACTACCCTTTAATTTTAGCGCTTGGTTCCATGTTTAATTTGGTGGGAACGGCTTGGATGAAAGGTTGCATCCTGAGCAACTACACAACATGCTGCATTTGATTGGCTTCATCTACAAGTGCCCGATTGCTCAAAACTACAAGAAGCCTGATTGGATTGATTGGTTGATTGATTGAAGCAGGACGCAGGAGAAACAAAACATCTGCGCGTGGCCCCTCCAGTGCCCTCTCCACGGCAGCTTTCCGAGCTATAGTCCAAACTCCCAGTGGTGTAGCCATCACATGATTAAAGGGGGTGGCAATAATGTAATGTTGCAATCACATGATCAAAGGGGGTGGCAATAATATAATGTTGCCGAGACAGACGAATCCCGGATGATCAAATTTGCTTTGTAACATTTTTTGACCCGAGAAGGTCTGAACAAGATCCATCGGCAATAATAAGGGGGTGGCAGGTTTGCTGCCAGCCGAAAATGCCCCGATTTCAATAGATTCCCTTGTCCTACCAGTATTACGAGCTGCACTACCTGGTCCTACCCCAACCCCTTGGTTTACTATTACCAGCCCCTACCTTCCGTAAACCAAAAACGCAAGACAAGTTCTGGGCGGGGGGGGCATTCTTCATTGCCATGGTAACATTCTCCCCCTAAATAAGCCCCATAATAGCCCCCTAGGCCCTATACACCCTCCTATATAACCCCCTTTAAAGACTTGAGACTCTAGCTCTTATGCAGATCGACTATTCTGTAACTCTTATGTGGACCAACTAAACCCTAAACCCTAAACCCCAAACCCTAAACCCTAAACCCAGAAATGAGCCGAGGCACTGAGCAACTTGATGACGCGGACCGTACTGGCCCGCTGGTCTTGATCTCCGGTAACCAGCCTTTTGCTTCTGGCAATTCTATACCCCAAGCCCTACACCTTTAAACCCTTAAACCCTACACCCTTAAACCCTTAAGCCCCAAGCCCTTAACCCTTCACATTCCAGAACTTAGTAATATCAAGCCGCCCTAGGGTCAGCTTCCACCAAGAAGAAAGGCGTTTAAGGTGGTGAGGTCGGACGAGGTCGTTGGAATTTGACCAGTTTTGCTTGTTTAGTCGGATGAAATGGAAGCTGGGGCTGTGCGGGTTTAGGGCTGCTAGTGGGGAATAATTGAAAGGAAAAGAAAATTGTAAATACTACAGTAGTGGGGACCATAGGAGCCGGCTCTCCATTCCCTACTGACCAACCGGTAAGGTCTCAACTCTCGTGTGTTTAGTAGCGGACAGGGATAGGGGTACGGATTTAGAAGATTGTTAGGGTATATTAGGAACTACTATGGGGAAGTGAAGGGAATAGTACAGGACATGTTCTAAAGGATTATGTAAGAAATACTGAATCCATAAACCCTAAATAATAGTTGCCATGTTCTTTCCATTATCCGGTATTACCCCCTAATTTTGGGAAACCCTAAACTCTACATAACCCTCTATGACCCCCATAAACCAACCCTGAACATAGGGGTGCATCCCCTACTGGGGACCAGGTAGTCAACGACGCAGGATTGTCCGTTCAGGGGTGCTTAGGGAAGACGGTGCCAGAGAGAGCTTCCGCAGAGCCCCAGGGCATTTTCAATATCACCTCCCCGAACAGGTGCTTGCCGTTGGATTTCATGGATTAGTGGACGGAATGAGCCCAGACAAAATCATCTGAGCGGTGGCCTAAACCCTTTGAACCTTCGGTTCTCGTATCAATCACTATCGCGGAACCATGCGTTTTACTGACGCGGT